TCGTGGATTGCACTTAATGCTGGTGATCGTGGACTTGCCCTCAACGCTGGTGATCTAGGAGTCATGGCGGAAACGGGTGAGACTGGCGAAACTGGAGATGTAGGCGCTGTAGGTTCTGTAGGTGCTGTCGGCGATCGTGGACCGGTTAGTGGCCATTCTGGAGCTGACTGTTCCGGACTTGGTTCCTCCGGCGCATCTGGTGCATCTGGTACATCGTCTGCATCTGGTGGCGGCGAAAAAGATGTCGGGGGTGGTCTGTGTTCCTGTTGATTTAATGGCCTAAACGATGTATCATAAACATTTCCATATTTACCCTCCTTCTCCCATTGTTCTTGTTGTATGCGTTTCGCATGGGTCGGAATCACTTGTTGATCGGGTGGTAACCGGGGATCTGGTTTGTACATAGTAGCCAACCAAGGTGGATCACCCTCGGGTCGTTTCGATGTATCGCCTGAACGAGTTTTCGGTCGTATTTCTGGCGCATTTGTTCCACCCGGCTTTTGTTTTTGCCTTTGTGCTGACGTCTGTCGACCTCCGGGAAGTGCAGCGTTTGCACCAACAGATCCTTTTCTTCCTGATTGCTTTTTGGTAGGAGATCGTTCGGTCGGTGACGCACGAGCTGGTGTGGGTGATACTCTAGCAGGAGTAGGCATGGGAGCATTCGAACTCGTTGTAGCTTCATCAAGTACAAGAGAACTTTTAACACTATGACTCCGACTCCTTGCTTGCTTGAATGATAATGGGTCCTCCTCATCATTCCAGTTACCCGTTTTCCGAGCTATGGGTGTGTCTCGCTCAAGATAATCGATGGGTATTGGTAAAGGGCTCGATTTCGAAATCGGTATCTTCGATATACCCTTGGTACCAAGATCTCCCGCTGACTCCTCAGGTAATCGTAATTCCCAGACAGTAGATCCCTCTCCGTCCCCATTTGCTATCATCTTCTGCCGTTTCTGTCCCTCACTTTTGATGCCATGATCTTGACTACGATCCCGACGACTAGATCTGCTTCCTGTCCGTGGACGAGGTATCGGTATTCCAGCCGCTTGTAATTCTTCATTCTCTATCCGAGCCAATTTATCTCTGTGAATCCATCTAGATTGTTCCACCTCCCCCATCTCATAATTCCCACCATTCATACCTCTCTTCTCCCCAGAATCCATACCTTGGCCACTTTTATTATTCCCATATAAGTCTAATAAACTATCAGGAGCGCTAGGAGTGTCGCTGATATCACTATTTTGCCGATTCAATTCATTTGCGCGAATGGGGGCTAAATGATTATAATCGTGAGTAACATGAGGACCGAAGCTGTCTGTACTTGGATGTAATGCGTGACCATTCGTTTGAGAGATTTGTCGATTGTGGTTATGATAATCTGCCGCTGCAGAAGGTGAGGTCGGCTAAGGAAAGTTTAATTAGCATGACAACTCGTGAAAATTGGGTTAAATTACAAGATGGATTACCTCTACTTCAGTTGGTACCGAGTAATTCCAAGAATCTTGACCGTGAGAACTACTTGGTGGTGTCAAGCTGGTATGTGCTTGGGTTGTAGAAATTGTTGCCATCCTGCTCAATCAATACCGTTGCTCAAGATCTGCCTGAAAACAGCCTCCCACCTAGCAGCAATTCACTTCTTCCCTCCCAAAGCTTTCCAATCAATTATCACAATCTTCTTTATCGGAATTGCCTGATTATAATTGGTATCTCTGAAGTTTTGTCAATCTCTCGAATGGGCGGATAAATGTTCTCGTCGTATCTTTTCAGGTATGACGAGTCCAAATTACCACGCCTTTTCCGAAAGAATTCTTAAATGAAGAATAAATCGGTTGAGAACATTTGGGTTGGTTGATAGGAAAATAGGAGAGAGTTTCTGTAGGGTAGGCAGTGAATGAATGTAGTGGACTTGTGAACGTGCGTCTGCAGTGCGGCAATGCCAAACAGAGACACAACGGCGATTATACCGACCAATTAATTAATGATTGAGGAAGTAAAACCGAACGAAGAGAATTGAAACTGCTGGTGAATGACCGCACTGAGACTGATGACCATTGAAGGTCAAACACAGTTCGTTTTTTTGTATTTTGGTCCGTTGGATGAAGTTGGACGTAGGTTGGGAAATTGGAAATGGAGATGAAGATGGAGATGAAGATGGAGATGAAGATGGAAATGCGGTGAATGGAATGGCTGAGGGTTAGAACCAAGAAGAATCAAAAAGGGAAGCTATTAAACTATACACGGAATACGAAGCACCTTGAACAAGGAATTCAGGAATAAATAATCTTAAGCCTTGCGAAAGGAGAGTAGCTCGATGTTCATATCATTCATATCGTTCATATTGTTCATACCGAGGGCGATTAATGTGTGGATCAGCGAATTAAATGAGAGAAGTTCTTGACGAGAGAGTTTATGAAGCTTATGGGTACATACGGCGTACTCGAATAGAATAGACAAACCAGCGTGACCCAGTTGCTGATTGAAAAGCGGATCTTTAACTGGGATTGGTATTGGTTGACATTTTGTCTGGTGGTCGAGAAGGTATCCGACCGGTAATTTGATCTGTGTTCAATAAAATATATTTCTTAATCTTTTTCTCCGATTTTTCAATGCAAGAGAGAGAATGAATGTGTGAAGATGTTTATGAATGTCCGTCTCAAATATCGTGTCAACTATTAATAAGTACTGTACTTACCTAGTAGCGCATGTATAAGGTGATAAACTAATACATAGACTTATGATTTGTACGAATCACATTGATGCATTTCTCCTCTCGCTCCCTTTTCAGCCTTGTCTAAAATGACCTTTCTTTTCTATCCAACCAATAATTGCGAGTTATTAATTAGTAGGCAAAGTGGTGAGGCTACATATAATATACATTACATTCGTGCTTTCTCTTCCTATAATATCCTCAGATCCCCTATATTGTCGCCGTTATCCTATCATTATTGAAACCTCACAGCATATTATCTCACTATGACAGACCCATCATATGAACTCGATCGTATGAATTATGAATACTCTCACCACTCTCAAGACTCATGTGATACTTTATCATCACAGGCGCCTCAATACACATATACTATTCCATCATCTCAAGAAACTCATATACCTAGAATAACTCGCACTACTGTTACTCGCAAGACGCGTTTCGTTTGTATTTCCGATACACATAATGGTACCACCAATGGATCGTTCAAACTCCCACAAGGCGACGTCCTCATTCATGCAGGGGATTTAACAAATCAAGGAAATTATTCAGAATTAGAGAAAACCATTAAATGGATTGAAGATGCCAATTTTGAAGCCAAAATCATCATTGCAGGTATGCATGACACCAACTTACTAGGGACCCCTTCATCACCCCATAAATATTCTACTTCCATCCATCTCATTTATTATTCCGAACAAAAAAATACTACAAGACGGTGAAGAGGCCTTATGCAAGGTAACCATGATATAACACTCGACCCATCCTTCTACTCCCAATATGGACTTTACTTTCATAATCAGAATCCACAAGACGTCAACAAATGTCAAGAATTATTGGATCGTTCCCCCTCAATTCTGTACCTTAATCATGAAGCGGCAGAAGTTTCTTTAGCATCACCCACAGGCCCACATACCACGTTCCGCATTTTCGGTTCTCCTTTTTCCCCGGCAAAAGGAATGTGGGCATTCGGTTATCCACAACCTGAAGCATCAAAGAGATGGAATAATATTCCATTAGATGTTGATATAGTACTTACTCATACACCACCTAAATATCATTGCGATGAAAGAAATGATCGTGTAGCTGCCGGTTGTGAATATCTCCGTCAAGCATTATGGAGAATTCGTCCACGATTAGCAATATGTGGTCATGTACACGAAGGAAGAGGTGCTGAGATAATACAATGGGATCTTGAAGCATCGAATATTAAATTCAAGGAAAATGGTGTGATTCGTTGGGAAGATCCGGGTAAAGATAATAAGAAGATGTCTCATATCGATTTAACTTCGAAAGGAAGAGTAGGAGACAATTCTTTCAAAAATGATGGTTCCTTTGGCGATTGGGAAAATCTGACTAGTGCATCAACTGCTAGTTCCAATAACCTAACACTAACCGGAAATGGTTTGCCTTTTTTATCAGAGAACATCGCATCCGATCGAGAAAAATGGCGCAGGAAGAATCCAATGGCTAAAATAGCAATGTCAAATGTAGCAAAAAGTCTACTCGCCATACCGGAGGAAATACTCTCACCAGCTCGAGGACAAGGTGGAATACCACCATCATTACGTTGTGATGTAGAAGCTCTATCTGGACGGATGGGAAGAAGGGAAACGTGTGTGGTTAATGCGGCGATGATGGCTTCTAGTTGGCCTCATGGCAAAGGAAGAGGAGGGAAGAAATTCAATAAACCTATTGTGGTCGATATTGACTTGCCGGTTTGGGAAGAGGTAGGATTGTGATATTGTTTGATTAGTTGTGATAATATATAATTATACTCAGGTTTTTAAATTATGCTCGCGGTGGGTAGAAGGCTTTTGTTATACTTGTGTTCTTTTCTCGTTCAATACTTGCCATAGTAAATCATTCCTGTTATGCTTCAGGGACTCTCCCGAAGTAATCCCTCATTCTATCAAATTGTTCCTCCATATGATCAGTTCACCCTGCATAAACCATCCATGTATCCTTTCCTTCTTCTCCCCATTCCTTCCTCCCCATATCAAAATTCCAGAACAACGTATTATCCAGACACCACTCCGAAATACAGTACTCATAAAAAATCACACAGATCCTCCCCAATATCAAATCCCCACACTCCAAACTACAAGCCCATAATCCGAATTTGATCAGAGTAATCATTCAAAAAAAATATCTCAATATCTAGTCTAGACTCCTCATCTCCATTAAAAAACATTTCCATTTTTATACTCAATACCCAATATCCATACAAATTAATGAAATAATTTAATTAATCCATCGCATATTCCAAACTTCGAGTATTATGATTCTAGATCTAAGATAAGAAGTCACAAGCTCTTGAGCTGGAATGAGAGTCTTGTTTAGGGTGTAAGGGTACTTTTTGGATATATCTGGATTGGCTGGCTGGTTTAGATTAGATGGGATAGGATAGAGGGTTCCTTTTTCTTTGGGTTTATTGGGAAGTGGAGAAGTGGAGAAGGGAAGAAGGGAAGAAGGGAAGAAGGGAAGAAGGGAAGAAGGGAAGAATAAGTAAGTAGGATTTTATCTTTACAATTTCTTCTGATTGTGCAAACTAGATATTGCAGTAGGTAGTGCTGATCGGTTGGGCGGAATATGTTTATTGATTAATCACGCTACCTAGCATCATCGAAAGGAACTTATCGCGGTGATTCATTCATTTATATCAGCAAAGATCTTACTGACCTCTTGCAATCTATCCCATGCTTCCAGTCTCCAGTCCATTCCCCTCATCACTATTTTCTTCATCCATCATTATTCATCCTTTCTTTCTGCATGGAGATCAATTCAACTGCTCTACTCACTTCATAGCGAAGAGGAGATAGATACTTGTCCGCAAAGTTGTATAGCAGCATCAATATCCAAATTAAACCAAAGCTTTTCTTAATATCCAAAACTTAGAAGATTCTCAATATTAGTTCTAAAAATCATAATCACTAAAATATGGTTTAAGATACCTGCCTTAATATCAATATCCCATGCCCTACTACTATCACAAACCATAAGTTCAGAGATGAATGATATAGATGATATTGCACTAGTGCGCCTGGTAAAATTTAGGGTTATGATTTATACTGATATCTGCATTGTACTTTTGAATTCGGTGTGGTATGGGTGGTGGCCAGGGGGGAAGAGAGGAGAAAGGGGGGGAGTGTAACGATACTGTACTGGAGGCAGCGGCTGCCTAAGGTTTCGTCTGGTTGGTAGTTATGGGTTAAGGCTTTATCACTGGTATTCACTTGGAAGTGAAGTCGTTACTAGATCAAGTAGAATGTAGGTAAACTAATTGATAACTAAGTTGAGCACGAAGCCTCTATACTATGAAACTATTCTGACTATATACTATACGTTTCCCGAGTGCTAGCCCATGCTAGCTGGCTAGCAGAGCTATCACGTCACGTGATCCCATCGGAGCCTCAGGACACTAATCCTGGAACGATTCGTCTCCTAGGATAATTTAGCTCCTAGGACAAATACTATCCTAGGATGCTTGCCCTACATCATTGCGGTTGCCTAAATGTTTATTCTAGGATTATTATTATCCTGGGACACATTTTATCCTAGGATACTTGCCCTAGGATTCCTTATCGATAAGGACCCCCCGGAACCAGCGGCCCAAACCTCCGTACTTGCTTTTATTGTATTATAATAATCGTGATTCGTGACAATTAAATATAAATAAAAAGTAAATTTTTTTATATAATATTTGTTAAAAGGAATGACCTTACACAGGGAATAGTGGGAAGCTGACAGGGCAGAACTGGGGCTATATTGGGCTTTTTATATAAATCATACATTATCTAAGTTCTATGGAAGTGCGAAGCTCTCCTACAGAGAGCTTTGTCACGATTCACCATTAGGATTGATGGTGTTACGATGGTAGCAAACTGATTAATTAGGAGAGCTTAGGCCGTGTGCAAACACGATCAGATTTCATCGAATTAGTATGTGATCTTGGTCACCTGAAGATCGTATGCGCACGCACCATCAGAAATCGCGTGATAAGGAGTCTTGAGGAGCCAGAAAGCTCCTAGGGCCCC